AGCTACACAGTGAAATGGTTAGCAAGTTGGGTATGATGAATATTTTTCATCACCCAACTTGAGGGGGAGTGTTGAAATTAGTATGCGAAGTATGGAGTTGTACATAAGCAATGATGTTTGTACATGGTTGGTTAGTGTTAGCTTAGTGTTGATAGTTAATTATACATGTATTAGAGTTAGTTAGAATAGAGGATATATTAATGTAAAAGGTCACACACGTGTATGGTATGATGCAATAACAGAAAATTTCTCCAGAACTTTCCTCTGTCTCTCTGTCTCTCTCTCTCTCTCTCTCTCTCTCTCTCTCTCTCTCTCTCTCTCTCTCTCTCTCTCTCTCTACTCTCTGTTATTCCTATTTTAGCTCAAGGATCAGATCCTCTTCTCCTTTCAAATGTTATTTCAGCAACTTTTGAAGGAAAAATAATCCTATTTTTTTTTAAAAAAAAATAGAAATAAAATATATAAAAAAAGTGAAGAAAGTCACGAATGATATCTTAACCTACTCGAGGATTAATTTAGCATTTAGCTATTAAAAAGAATTGCATTGAGTGGTAAGTACTCTTTACTCTTTTATTCTTAATTAGAAATTATAAAATTAAGGACCCATTTGGCCATAGATTTTGTCAAATTTTTTTCAAATTTTTTCTGACAAATACATGTTTATTCATATTTTTGCAAATTCCCAAATCCCAAATCCAGCTCTTGGACAAAATATTACTACTACATTTTTTTAAAATTTTAAAAATTGCCCCAAACTTTTATATTTTAGTATGAAAGAGCCCACAATTTATTATTTTGTAACAATGCTGCTTCGTTTTCTCGGTCATCTGATAGTGTATTATGTAGTTTATTATAAAAATGATAATTTTGTACCACATTTATTTATGTTTAGCACTATGGTTTGTGATAATGATAAAGAATGTTATTGATTAAGGTACTGTTGGGTATTTGTGATAGTTTTTAGAACTTGTGGATATAAGTCATATTTCACGTTATTTTAAAATAAAATAAAAAAGTAAAATATGTTTTGAAACTAATGTCCAACTACATTTTCATTCAAACCAAACTCCACTCAAATTATGATTTTTCAAAATAAATTTGAAAATCTACTACCAAACGCTAGCTAAATATAAGAACGAAACCATTTTTGATCGAGAACACTTACCCTTAAGATAAAACTTCCAACATAAATTAGGATTAATGTAGCCTGGTTCTGCTTCATGGGTTCTACTACTTCTTACCCTTTCGTTGTGTATAGTGATGGTGACGTGCTCATATAGAGCCAAAATAGTACATTACAGCAGAATAAACAACAGCCGTTCGATCAAATCCAGAATCCGAGATTCACACAGCCAGGATTAAGCAAAGAGGAGGAGACAAAAAAGAAACAGTAAAAAGTGTGCAGAGTTACCAAAGTAGTCAAACAGAGCAGTGAAATATGTCGAATTGTTCCAAAATTTCCTTTTTTCCATAAATTTTAGGGCATTGCCCCTTTCTTGGCAACTGCAATTTCCACTAAAACATTGCCACTTACTTGTAACCAAATATGGTTACTTTAATTTCTTCCACACAAACTCTTCTAATAAGTTTTAAATAATTTTCTGCATTGTGTTTAAAGTCGTTTAAGAANTTTATCAACAAACAAAAAAAGAGAACTTTTGGGTGAAAACCTCCTAAGAGCTATTTATGCCAAAATTTCTTTTGAGAGCAGAGCGAAACTACTATTAAAAAAAAAAAAAAAAAAAGGCAAAATTCAACTTAATTTTTCCACTAACAAACTTTTTCACTAAAGACATTCAGGNTAGGGTAGCGACCCAAATGCTCCTTTGAGTAAATTATTGAATCAATATTCACCAGCGTAGCACACGTTATTTCTACATTCTTTCTCTGTTTTTTTTGGTCCTCCCTTTTAACCAGAGGCGGATGCAATGTATCGGTACTGGGTTCAAATAGCAATATAAACTCATAACTTTAAAAAGATAATGGGTTCAATCCTAAAAATCATAAAGCTAGAACGCATAAAACTTAAATCCTAGATTCGTCTCAGCTTTTAACTACCTCAGCTTGTTACCACAAAAAGCAGGTAGGGAAATTCTTTTCTTGTTTTTTGAGTTTAAGTTTATGCCTGTATAAAAATATGTATGCAATTAAATTACTTAAAAAATAAGTATAAAAAAGTTTATATAATAAGCATTAATTGATAATGTGATAAAATAAGAGATATACTCATTTAGCCAAAAATACGACATGTTAATTTACATGAAATATCGAAACCTTTTTATTAGCTGGGGGTGTTTGTTAACTGTTTGAGTGAAAGTCGAATTTGTAGAGAAATATGTACCAATTCCCAAGCAGTGAAGGAGCCATTAACGACACGACCAACCTTTTCGTGCTCATTTTTGCTCGCCATTCGTGCATATGAACAGGAAGGGATTAATATTGTTTTATTCGATTTTGCCCTTTTGGGATAGAGTGTTTTTTTTTTACTCCCTCAACCCTGTTCCCCACACCTCCTTCATTTTAGAGTTATATGAATTTGTTTATTTTGACCCGTAGAAAAGTAGTAATCACTTCGTTCCGCTTTAATTGATATTTTGGTATTTTTTTGTAGTGCGTAATATTTGATTTTTTCATATATCAAAAAGGAATTAACTTTATTTTTTTCGAAGTTGCCTTCGGAGTAAAGAACATATGAGTATTTGTTATATTTCCAATGAACAAATTAAGGTTAATATGGTCAATTTTCTTGTTAATTAATACTAAAAGATGGATTTCTCAATATGTGTAAAAACAACCAAAAAAATCAAGAGTTCATTATTCAAATGGTCACTCAACTATCCCAAATTATCTGCTAAAGTCACTTTTCTTTCTTTTATAACAATAAAGTCACTTAACTATGCCTATAGCACTCAGAAGGTCACTCAACTAGATTTTCCAAATTTTAGATTGCCAAATACCTATTTTACCCTCTAAATTACAAACATTTATCTTTTTTTTTTTTAACTTTTAATATTAAGATTTTCCCTTTTTAATTTATATTATGGACTTAGCTATAGAATAAATAAATTTATTTATAAATTAAAAAAATAAAAAGTATTTAAGCATATATAATGTCGGAATAACAAAATGATGAGCATAGTAAGAAAAATAATTAGAATAATTTGTTCGTAATAATAATTTTAGTATTACCAACAAAAATTCAAAAATTATTTACACAATTGAGAATAAAAGAAAATAAATATTGTGAAATATATATTCCATTCACGTAATATAAAAATAGTTATTTAAATAAAGATATTTTTATAATATACATTATATATTCTTAAAAGTTATGCTCAATTATATTATTATTCCATCATTATATGAGCTAAAAACTAATTTTTTATTTTTTATTTTATAAATAAAATATATTTATTCTATAGGTAAGTCCACAGTGTAGATCAAGAAGAGAAAAAATTATAATATTTAAAAAGTTAAGAATTTTTATAATTTAAAAGGTAATATAGGTATTTGACAATCAAAAATTTGAAAAATCTAGTTGAGTGACCTTCTGAGTGCTACAGGCATAGTTAAGTAACTTTGTTGTTACAAACGAAAGAAAAGTGATTTTAGCAGATAATTTGGGATAGTTGAGTGACCATTTGAGTAATGGACTCAAAAAATCAATTAAAGTGGACCGGAGGGACTATTCCGGTATACATGGAATAGTATATATATATAATTTTTTTTTTGTTCGGTTTTTGCACATCCTTTTAGTAAGGTATTTAATACAATTAAATTTAACAATATGTATCTAAATTATTTTTCAAACATTCAATTAACTAGTAATCCACTAATTGAAACAATAAGGCCTTAAGTGTAGATCTGCAAAAAAAGAAATAATAAAAGACTTCTTACTTTTCTAAAATGTGAAATATATTGATACAATTTTAATTTAACAAACGACTAATATTTGGGATTGAAAAGTTGTAGTATTTAATTTTTTATTTATCTTAACTAAATTTAAAAAGCAAGCGAAGGACAATATATATTTTGACGAACAGCTGAAAAATTGTGTTTTATTTTTTATTTATCTAAAATAAATTTAAAAGCAGCTTTAAAACAAAGGAAAATATGTATTTTGACGAAAGGAGAGGTTATTTCATCTTCCCGCAACATAATCAATTTTGTCAAATAATAGCTGACAACTTTTCATTGGCATAAAACATGATTTTTATAAGTGTGCTCCTTGTCTGATTGCCATCTCGTTATACCTCGCAGTTTCTTTACAGTAAAGACTTCTCCCAAAACTGTTTAATCTTTTTATAGCACATTCAATTATAGTTGTTAGACAAGGTACAAAACAGGAGGTTCACGAGTTTGACAGTGCTAATCAACACTGTTTTTGTTTGCTTCAAAACAAAAATTATTACTTTAGACACCCAAAACTCAGAGTTTTGGTACTTTTGCCTTTTGTTTTCACCTTCATAAGATAAGGTGTTTGATATTTTTAGTGTCTTAAATGGGGAGCTCTAATTAATTGAAGCGCTTAATTCTCTTTAGTGAATTTATTTAGCGCGACCTGAAGCAAAACAATATAGACTTTTATCATAATTTGTTGAATTACAAATTTTAAGACGAAGAAGTGATACAAGTTAAAAGAATAAAGCAGCAGAAGAAGAAGCTTAGCAGTTAAAGCTGTAACAGAAATCTGAGTTGGCAGCTGATGTGGCAAAGTTAGTTACAGCAGTCATAGTTAGTTAGAAGTTAGTTTACAAGTTGTATTTCTAGAATCTTCAGCTGAGCATATATAGTTGAATGAATTGTAATTGATAGATACTTTTGGAAGTCAATACACTCTATTCTCTCTAAATTCTTCTCTCTTGAGCTATATTCTCGCATTTGCTTGACATAGCCATCACCTTCTTCGAGCTTAACCTCCTAGATTGACTATTTTGCCCTGCCTTCTGCTACATTGTATCATTTGGTATCAAAGCTTCACGTCCTTGGCAGCTCCGGTCATGACGCGCAGCAAAAATTCAGAGAAGTCTGTTGAAGAATTGGAAGACAAACTAACAGCCATTAACGATCAATTGCAAAAGTTGATGGATGGAATGATGATTATAAACGAGCATAATGTACAAACTGACAAGGAATTGTTGGAATTGAAAGAGTATATGGGAGCTATGAATCAGAAAGGGAAGGAAAAGGAACAAGTTAGAGCAGAATCTACTAATGGTCGAGCTGGTTCAATGGAGATTCAACAAGAAGGAAGGATCAGAGATGTTTATCAAGGTGCAACTGCTAATGGTAACTTTTTTACTCGATACTCTAAACTTGAATTTCCTCGATTTTCTGGTCATGATTTGAAGAATTGGTTGTATAAAGTCGATCAGTTTTTCTCTATGGATGAGGTAGCATTTGATCAGAGGGTTAAGGTAGCTTCTATTCATTTTGATGGAGAAGCTATTGCTTGGCATAGGTCATATGCGAATTCTAGGAATTCAGTGTTAGAACCTACTTGGACTGAATATGTACTGGCTTTAAATGAACGGTTTGGGGAAGGATTTGAAGATCATATGGAAGCTTTAAAAATTCTGCAACAAATGGGTAGTGTTAAGGGCTATCAAGCAGAATTTGATAGGTTGTTGACTGGGGTTAATTTGTCTAATGAAAATGCAATTAGTTATTTTTTAGGTGGCCTTAAACCAGAATTGAATAAAGCTGTGAGAATTCAATCACCTAGAACATTGCTACAGGCCTACAGAATTGCAAGATTGCAGGAGGAGGTGTTTGAGGCTCAAGCTCAGTCTTGGGGTCTCAAGCCTATTATGAGAACCAACATTGGCATATTACCTATCCCTAATCACAATAAACTCCAGTATAACCAAAAAAACCTATTACCAAACTCCACTAACAAAAAGCCTTTTGAACCTAACCTTACTAAGAACACTAGAATTCCTGGTAGGAGGTTGAGCACAACTGAAATGGATGAGAGGAGGACGAAGGGATTATATTTTTTCTGTGATGATAAGTATGTACCAGGCCACAAGTGTAAGGGTAACAAACAACTATATTTAGTGGAGGTGACAGAAGATGAAGAGGTGGAAGTAGAGGAACCAGAAGATATGACACAAGAATTGCTAGTGGATTCAAATGAGTTCATGGCCATATCTTTACAAGCATTTACATGTGCAACAGGTTATCAGACTATTAGAGTTACAGGATACCATAAGAAGAGGCCTTTACAAGTGTTGATAGATACTGGGAGTACTCACAATTTTATGGTTGAGGAAGTAGCTTCAAGATTAGGCTGCAAAGCTTGTTCTATTTAGAAACAATCTGTCAGTGTAGCCGATGGTAGAAAAGTGCAGACTACTTCAGTTTGTAAGGACTTGCAGTGGTTATTACAAGGTACCACTTTTTCCTCTGACTTCTTACTATTACCATTGGGAAATATAGATATTGTTTTGGGTGTGCAATGGTTGAATACCTTGGGAAGGATACTATTTGATTTCAAAAAGAGAACCATTGAATTCATGTATCAAGGAAAGAAGCATGTTCTTAGGGGTGCAAATGAACAACTTAAGGCTGCTAAAGCTAAAAGTTTGGTAAGGAAAGAGGGAGTAGATGCACAATTCTTCATGATGTCCTTAGTAGCCAGAAGAGATGAACACACTTATTGCCACAGTATACAAGCTACACCAAGAGCTGATCCCTTGCCAGACTTAACAGCTCTTATTAAACAGTATGCATGTATCTTTGAATTACCTACTACTTTACCACCTCGCAGGGGGTCTTATGATCACAGAATACCTCTTAAGGAAGCCTTTAATCCTGTTAATAAGAGACCTTACAGATACCCTGGAATCAAGAAAGATATAATTGAAAAGTTGGTACAGAAAATGCTAGATCAAGGGGTAATACAGCATAGTACTAGTCCATATGCATCTCCTGTAGTGTTAGTTGGAAAGAAAGATGGTAGTTGGAGGCTTTGTGTGGATTACAGGAGCTTGAATCAAAATGACTATCAAAGATAAGTTCCCTATTCCCATGATTGAGGATTTGCTTGATGAATTAAGTGGAGCTGAGATTTTTTCCAAAATAGATCTTAGAGCTGGTTACCACCAGCTAAGAATGGCTGAAGGAGACATCAACAAAACTGCATTCAGAACTCATGAGGGACATTATGAATTTTTGGTAATGCCCTTTGGGCTAACCAATGCACCTTCTTCATTTCAAAGTTTAATGAATGCTGTTTTTAAACCATTATTAAGGAAGTCAATATTGGTATTCTTTGATGATATTTTGATTTATAGTAAGAGTGTGACTGCTCATGTGATCATGTGAAAGCTGTGTTTGAACTGACGAAGCAGCATCAACTATATGCCAAGATGTCAAAGTGTGCATTTGGAGTGGCTAAGGTCGAGTACCTTGGCCATTTTATCAGTGTTGAGGGAGTGTCTACAGACCCAAAGAAAATTGTTGCTGTACAGGAATGGCCTATACCTGTTAATATCAAACAGTTGGGGGGATTCTTAGGTCTTGCAGGCTATCATAGAAGATTCATTCAAGGTTTTGGGACTATTTGTAGACCACTTCATGATCTATTGAAGAAGGATAGCTTTGTGTGGACTGATGAAGCTACCACTGCTTTCAACAGTTTGAAGCAGGCCCTAATTTTTGCCCCTGTGTTAGCTATGCCTGATTACTCTAAACCTTTTACTGTGGAGACAGATGCTGGTGACAAGGGAATTGGAGCTGTATTGATGCAACAAGGGCATCCTATTGCTTACATAAGCAAATCCCTAGCTCCCAGGCATCAGATTCTATCAGTCTATGATAGAGAGTTACTTGCTCTTATCTTTGCTGTTACTAAGTGGTCGAATTACTTATTGGGCAATCATTTTATTTTTAAGACAGACCAAAAAGCATTGAAGCATTTATTGGAACAACAGGTGCAAACTGATTTCCAAGTTGCTGGTATTTCCAAGTTAATGGAATTTGACTTCATTATTGAGTATAAGAAAGGGTAGGAGAACAAAGCTGCAGATGCATTATCAAGAAAGGCAGATGCTGAACTTTTAGCTATTTCTTTACTCACTCCTAATGATGCCTTATATGCACAGATTAAGTCATCATGGAGCAATGATCCAATTCTACAGGAGTTAATAGCTAAAGTACAAGTTCAACCTTACAAGGCCTACGCTTGGTTTAACAACCAACTTAGGTGGAAGTGCAGATTAGTTGTGGGCAATGATGAACGGTTGAAGAAGAATATCATTACACTGTGGCATAGTACTACTCAGGGAGGTCATTCGGGTATGGATGCTACTATTAAGAGGTTACAATCTTTATTTCATTGAAAATCTCTTATAGCAGATGTTAGAGACTTTATCAACAAGTGTGATGGCTGTCAAAGACATAAATATGATGTTGCTGCTTCACCTGGCTTATTGCAGCCCTTACCAATTCCTACAGGTGTTTGGACTGATATTTGTTTAGATTTTATTGAAGGTCTTCCAAAGTCACATGGAAAAGAGGTTATTCTGGTAGTAGTAGACAGATTGACTAAATCTGGGCATTTTTTGAGTTTGCAGCATCCTTATACTGCTCAAACTGTAGCCCAAAGCTTCCTAGATCAGATCTTCAAGCTACATGGTATGCCTCTTACTATGACCAGTGATAGAGATCCAGTTTTCTTGAGCTCCTTTTGGCAAGAACTTTTTTCTCTTCAATGAGTACAATTACAGAGGTCCACAGCATACCATCCACAGACAGATGGTCAATCAAAAGTGTTGAACAGAACTTTGGAAACCTATTTGAGGTGTTTTTGTGCAGATAGTCCTAAGGATTGGTCCAAGTATCTGGCCTTGGCAGAGTGGTGGTATAACACCACCTATCATTCCACTATTAAATGTACTCCTTATGAAGCCTTGTATGGCCAAAAACCTCCTACACCTTCCCTATTTGCATGGTGATACAGATGTGGAAATGGTTGATAGGTCTTTGGAAGCAAGGGAAGCCATAATTCAGCTGTTGAAATTCCATTTAGCTAGAGCTCAACAAAGGATGAAAGATACTACCAACCAACACAGATCTGAAAGATCATTTGAAGTAGGAGATTGTGTGTATCTTAAGCTACAGCCTTACAGAAAAATTTCAGTAGCTACCAGACCATTCAATAAACTAGTTGCTAAGTATTATGGGCCTTATCCTATTGCAGCAAATATTGGTTTAGTAGCCTACAAACTACTCCTGCCTGTTGATGTCCTTATTCATCCAACTTTCCATGTTTCTCAGTTAAAGAAGTGTCATGAAGTACTTACTATCATCAATCATCCTCCTACACTTCTCTTGTCTAGCCCTTATTGTCCTCAACCAGAATCAGTACTAGGAAGGAGGTTAGTCAAATGTGGTAATAAGGTTGTATGTCAAGTTAGAATCAAGAGGACAGGACTTGATGCTGACTCTGCTACTTGGGAGTATCTGCAGGAGCTTCAGACAAGGTTTCCTTCCTTTAATCCTTGAGGCCAAGGATTATCTTTAGGGGAGGGTATTGATACAAGTTAAAGACAAGTTAAAAGAATAAAGCAGCAGAAGAAGAAGCAGCTTAGCAGTTAAAGCTGTAACAGAAATCTGAGTTGGCAGCTGATGTGGCAAAGTTAGTTACAATAGTCATAGTTAGTTAGAAGTTAGTTTACAAGTTGTATTTCTAGAATCTTCAGCTGAGCATATATAGTTGAATGAATTGTAATTGATAGATACTTTTGGAAATTAATACACTCTATTCTCTCTAAATTCTTCTCTCCTGAGCTATATTCTTGCATCTGCTTGACATAGCCATCACTTTCTTCGAGCTTAAGCTCCTAGATTGACTATTTTCCCCTGCCTTCTGTTACATTGTATCAAGAAAATTATTAACTAATTTCTGAAAGTTGTTCATAAAGAAAAATACGAATGACTGTGTAGGACAAATATGGGGTTGGTGGGCCCCAGGATTTTCAATCATTTGGAAATAACTGATGTTACAACATTAGTACTAGTAAGCAGGAGTATGCAAGTACAGCTAACTACCTATTGTCAAAATAAGTCTCACAAAAAAAATTAATCCCCCGCAAGAAACGCTCGAAAAGGTTTTGTCTATAATATGTATTTTGTCTGTTAAGACCGACAGTCGTTGAACTGTTGGCTAATGGCGTATTAAAATTTAAGCACATGAGAATTGCAATGTTAATTACTTAATTATTACGGGTAGGAGTGTACATGAACCGAATTGGTTTGGTTTTGATAAAAACCGAAACCAATCCAACAATATCGGTTTGGATTGGTTCGGTTTTATCGGTTTTTTCGAGTTTTTCTGATTTTTTTGTTACATGAATATTATTTGAATATATATATATATATATATATATATATATATATATATATATATATATATTAAAATTTGAAAAAACTAAAATATGACCTATTAAAATATTCTTATAGGAGAATTTTTTTAGTAACACATGATAGTTATTTTCTTACTCGTCTAACAATAATTTTTCGTTGATGTACGCTTTTAAGGTTAACCGAATTTAATAATTTAGCATAAAATCAATATGAAACCTAAATAATGATATGTTCTATTTATTTTTAAAGTTATCGAGCTGCCATTTTAAATTCGAAAAAGGTATAAGAATTTAACATATTTTGACATATGAATATGAAAGAACAAAGAGATTGACGTATTTCAATAACATTTGATAAGAAAGTGATGATACAACTCATTATTTAACGTAAATAAATATGGATGCACTTCATAGTTCTATTAACTATTACATCATAAGAGTGAATCTCAAATAATTTTCTAGATACTTGCCAAAGAAAATTTTAAATAAAATCTTAAAAGTATATATAAAAATTATATATATTTATGTCGGGTTAGTTCGGGTATTTTTACTCAATATCAAACTAAATCAAACCAAATTTAATCGAATTTTTAATCGATTTGATTTGATTTTTCGATTTAATGCGGTTCTTCGGTTTGAACGCCCCCAGTTACGGGTGAAGCACTTCGTATAGTAACTAATTTATTTCAGAGTCCCATTTCAAGCTACACCATAGTGAAGAAAACAGTAAAATCATTTCTTGTAAATCTATTGGTCATATTTTTGTGTAATTAAGTAACTATTCCATGCCTTTATCTTCAAAAAATTTATGTTATCGTGTGTTCGTCAATGGGAAACCTAAGTGGTCCAAGTTAATCTTTTATTAAAAGATATATTAACCGCTCAAGAAAAATTACGCCCAAATGCATAAGCTAGTGTTTAAACATAGATTTGATTGAAACTTGAGAAAAAGTTGAAGTTTCGTTGAAAAATAATTTTTTGGAAGTTGAAGTTGTGTCTGGACATGCATTTTATTTGAGAATAAGTTGAAATTTTGTGAGTGAAAGAAAAAATTTCACCCAAAAACTACTCTTAACCAGTTTTTTGGGAACTTGAAATTTTTTGAATCTTTTTTCTCCGAAACATGATCATATTTCATAAACAAATAATTTTTTTAAATAATTTTAAAAAATAAAGCCAAAATCTATGATCAAACGGAAGGTAAGTCTCTCCATTAAAAGCACTATGAACTCTTTCATGTGGCTTGTTTTATTTTCCTCGACGTTATTCCACTTATTTACATGAATGGACCCTCCCCCTTCCCTACCAAAAGAAGAGCCCACCTCTCACATATCCAGAATATATAGTTTCTTCTTCATTTGCTAACTATTACTTTACAGTTGTTATGCATTAATGGGTAGTCTATTTTACATTACTATATAAGAGTGCTAGCTAGTTATATACAAATAATATAATACGGAGATAGTTGTCGAATGATAATTATATCAGACCGGGATTGTACTTGGTGAATACATATGTAACGATTTTTATACAATAAGTAAAAGGCGAAATATATAAACAGTCCCTTTAAACATCTCAACTGACCTCTTTATCGTTTAGACACTTTAACTGTCTATTAAATAGATCAAATACATACTGTAGACATCGAA